TTTCCGACCCGGACAATTTTAGGGGTCTACAGAGACAAGCAATTCGGCCAATGTGAACATAAACTAAGGTGGGCGGCATTTTGGACTTAATTTACTCCAACCGGTTTTGAAAATGCTAATTTGGTTTAGTTAGGTTTATCCAATGTGAATGGAACCTAGCTAAATCAAATCTATGAAAAATTAGGAGTAAAATGAGTCCAATATGTAAAATTTTTCCTAGGACCACATCTTGGCCCAATTGCTAGTAACACTCTCTAGCTTGCTAGTGACACTCTCTAGCTTGCTAATGCCACTCCCAATCCTACTACTAGAAAACTAAGAAAAGAGTGTATTTCTAGGTTAGGTTAAATGGAGTCAAAGTGCCCAAGTAACCTAACCTAGAAACAATATACAATAACTACTTAAAGGAAATAAAGTGTCTCTCAAATACAAAGGCAAAAATACACCTATACAAGTATCTACTATATACAAGGTACAAGAAATCAACTATACAAGTATGTACAATGGAAACTCAAGAGACTAATAAGAGGAATCATAATCAATGCTCATGAAGAGCAAAGGTCTAAGAAGCACCTCCTCTTTAGAAGCCTCCTTGGATGGTCCTCCATCAATTTTGCATTAAGGATTAACTTTAAGTTATTGAAGTGAAACTTCAATTTTTGTTAAAGAATAAGAACATAAATAAATTGGATCTAATATTTGGCCTTTCACTTGAATTAATATTTATATTTCTAGTGGTTGATAAAAGAATAATAGGTGCATTTGATTCTTTGAAATCTACTAAATACAGTCCAGTGGAACAGTTTTCAGTAAATTCATTATTCTCTTGAATTATATTCTTCAAGGATTGCTTCGTTGCGTGTTGCTGGTCTCTGTAATATGGATTTTGGGGTTAAGTTGACAATATTTGAGGAATGTGTTGTTATTCACAAAACGGTGAGGGAGAATGAATGAGAGATTATAATAATTTCAAGTGATGTTGATGTTCTGTCTGTATGTCTTTATTAGTGTATAAAATCACAATCTTTCAAGTTCTGGATTATATGATTTCTTCCAAGCAACTTCTGCCAGTCATTCCAGAAAATTTCCTTCAACCTATCTTTCTGCATGTACTTTATATCTCGCATGACTGCATACATTGTAACAACCTCTTCTTGCTCAGGATTCAAATCAACTGGTCTCCCCTTGTAGAGCATCTTTACCCCATGTGGCTGATATGGAGGAGGAAAAATGACACCGTTGTGAACCAAAGTAGTCCATTTTTTCTGCCCATCACCAGAGCTATAGGAAGAAGTTTAGTAGATTTGGAGTATTTTGAATCTTTGCCTGATTTTTTAAACGTCTTCTTGGCCTGTTTCTTAAAAGGTTTTGAGCCAGACTTGTTAACTTTATTAACCTTTAACAACACCTTCTTAGTGGAAGATGATTTATCACCTGACATGGATGATTTCTTTAATCTCTCGGAAATAGGAATGTCATCATCATCATCCTCCTCTACCTTCGGCTCATGTTTCACAGGGATTGGCTTTTTTTTTTATAGATGCAGCTGGATCTGAGACCTTTTGCTTCTTAACAGAGGGTTGCAAGGAATTACTGTTATCTAATGGTCTCTTAGCTGGCAATGAAGATGGCTTATCCTGTTTATTACTCATGCCAGAACCATTTTGTCGCTCTTTCTGAATTTTCATGATAGGCTTTTTCTGTCAGAGTCATCGTGGTTACTGCTAGTTTATCATATTAAAATCATGACTATGAATGGTTAACAGTTCAAGTATAAAAACTTGTCAATGAAGAAGGGGCAACTCACCCCATAATTAGATTAGATGGACTTACAACATCAATTTCCGCTAAAATTGACAACAGAAAAAAAATAATTTTATAGAAAAGAAATAAGTAAAAAAGAAATGTTTCTCCCCATCATCAACATGGCTCCATTCGATGTATCTCAGAATCTGATTTCAGGATCCACATCCATTGTCCAACAGAATTTCACCAGAAGAGATTTGTTGAAAATCTTTTCAATAGAAACCTCGTGCCGCTTGCACCAGGCAACCGTAATCCTGGGGTCAAGGTAGTTTATCTTGGATGTGCCTAATGCCATAGTTTTCAGATCTTCTTTTGTCTTCATATCATGTTGCATTTTGTCAATTTTTGCATTAATTTGAGATATCTTTTTCTCTAGCGCTTCAGGAGTTAAGTTCTTTTTTCTCTTTCAATCTGAACTCTTTGAAGGGGGCTTTCCTTTCCTTGCCCTGTCTAAATCCATTTTCAGCTCTTTCAAAACATCCTGAAGTTCATCAATTTTTTCATTTAACTTTGACATTTGTGCAACATGATATTTTGAAACACTACGTTGATGATTACAAATGATAGTAACCTGTACTATTCCCTTTTTGTTGTGATTTTATACACTAATAGTCTCTGATAATACGGTGCTGGTTTCTGAACTTGTGATGTTGCTATCCTCAAATGATGTTATATAAGCTAAATGTGTGGGGCGGATAAGAATCTCGATGTGAAAAAGAAGCTTTGGCTAGTGGTTACTGAAAGAGTTAAATTAACCTGTGGAAATTGAAAACTGGCATGGCTTTCATGTACTGGTTATGAAACATTTCACTTCAGTTTCAAAACTATTTACCAAATTTTCACAAGAATGCAACATCCTTGTTGTAGTTATTATAGGCTTTCATATAAACTTTTTCCCTGTTCAGTGCAGATCACCTTTGTAATGTATACTTTAAACTGATTTCTAAGACACAAGATTGTTAACATGTATTGCTTTTGTGTCTCCAATTGTCATTTTTAATTCATACGTGCTATTTGGTTGTTCCTAGTAAATTTGATTTGGTTATGATTTCTGTATCAAGTGCATAAGTGTTGAGATTTTTTTAGTGTGCCGATAAAGGATAGACTAGAAAAGTTTGAGGGTTGATATGTGTAGACACCCAATTTCCTTCGGAGGTATACAAACAACGAAATAGACCTCTGTTATGAAGGGAAGGAGCTCCCGAAGCATGCAAACAACAGGATAGGACATCAGAAGGCCTAAAGCCCAAATAAATTGGTTTTAGTGGCCCAGAACGGGCTGTTCCAAAATCGGAACGGGCGATTCCAAGCCACAAAAAAGGCCTAAAAACCTAGCCTGGAACGTCCCTTCCAAGCCACAAAAAAGGTCTAAAAACCTAGTTTGCAACAGGCCGTTCCAAAACCAGAATGGGCCGTTCCAAACCAGGCAAAAGGCCCAAAAATCTTAGGCTGGAACAGGCTGTTCCTAAGCTAGAACGGGCCATTCCAAACTGTTAAAAAAGCCTAAAAACTTAGTTTGGAACAGACCTTTCTAGCAAGGCATTTTTGTGTTAAATCTCAACTCCAGAACGGACTGTTCTGATTTCAGAACGGGCCGTTCCAGGTAAGAATTTTACACATAACGTTTGGATCCAGAACGGGTCGTTCCGAATTTGGAACGAGCCGTTCTGGCACCCTTTTGATGTCTATAAATAGATAGCTCAGGCACAGTTCTCAGGGCTCCAAATTTCGTCCAGACTCCTTAGAGCACGAAATTTCTCTCTTTTTCTCTCTCTCTCTTTTGTATTTCTTGAGATTCTGTGAGACACATTGTAGTGTGAAAGGTTGCCATAAAACACCTAAAATCTTCCTATTTTGAAGATTCAATAGAGCTCATTCAAGAGGTATTTCAGTTAATCTCTTTCTCTCTTTTTTATTTCTTATCTATAATCAATATTGTCATAATAAAAATAATCATGTAGACATTTTAGGATTAATTGTATAATTTAAATTTCAAGCATGTAAATAGTTATTAATAAAAGGGGATTTAATGTTTCTATTATTATCATTTATAATGCTAACTTCATCATAGGGTACCGATTAAGGGCGTTTGCTTAATACCTCCCCTACACGTAACCGACCCCAGAACCCAATTCTGGTTTTCAAGGTCATTATTGGACTTTTTAAAAACCTTTTCTTTTTCCAATGTTTTGAGTAAAACATTGGTGATAACTCCATAAACCTATTTTCAAAACCATTAATTAAGGATTAGTTTGGTGTCCGGGCATTCCTTAATTGATGAGATTTTTAAAAGGATGTCTAAACCATTAGTCGCGAGATCAAAAATTTTTGGGTTGAGATAGATGGCGACTCCGCTAGGGACGTTTTAAGAGGATCAGGCCCATATAAATGATGAAATTAGCATTATAAAAAATAATAATTTAAATATTTTTCTCCTTTATTTTGTTTGTTGTATTTGTTTGGCTTTCATAACATAGGGTATTAAACATAGGGAGTGGTTGACGTACGACCGACCCAAGTTTGGCCTTGGAGCCTACGAGCCTTGTCGAAAATCACATTCAAGGTGATAACCGGTTACTCTAGCCCGAAATACTACGACAGACCTAAGAGTTTACCAGGTGACAGTGACAGAGATATTGGGTCCCTATAATGGGGGCACCTTGGGAGCCTTAAAGACCAGTGAGATTAGAACCGTCCTATACAATGCGCTTTTCTTGACAGGGACCGCAGACCAAGGATTTGAACACGATCGTTCGTGGGTGTACGTTGATTGGGCATGTGTGTGTGCATTTGTTTGTATTATTTTGTTCTAATAAGATGGATTAAAATTTTAAATAAGAAAACAAATAATAAAGAAATAAAAAATAATAATAATAATTTTATACCCCTTTGTACATTCTTAGGTCAGCATTCCATTAACATCATATAGGTAGTTTCCTTTTTGTAAAAAAAAAATCAATAAAAGAAATCTCATCTTTACCATGCATCATTCTCCTTTAGAATAATAGAAACATGATAAAGATTAGGCAAAAAAAATGATATGCATTCTAGATTAGCTCATTAATTTCATTCATTTTATTTTATTAGCTAAGGAGGATTAGGTTGCCGTATGTATAGAAAGTTAAGAAAAGTGAATGCTCTAATATACAACAGTATCTGGGCTTTAAAGAAAAACCCAAATCATCTTTAAAATATTATGGTTTGACCCTTGCTTTGATATGTTTGTTGAAGTAAGTCTTCTTAGAATCTAATATAGATTCTCGCTTAATACTGTCAAAATCTATTTGAGCATTCACAGATAAACAAATCAATGGGACTGATATTTATTATTCTCAACTTTCTCTACATTCTGCATTACATTCATTTAGAGCATATCCCTCGTTGTAAAAGAATAAATGAGAATAAAAAGGGAAATTAACCTATGTGCGTTAATCGAAAGTAATGGAAGCAAACCAGGCATAAAGAGTTTAGGGTAAATCATCAAGACACCAACTTTTACCCTAAGAGCACAAAGCCATGTCGTGCAATGTGAAATCCAAGCGGAATAGGAATGGACGAATCCACACTCCTAACAAATTTTAAGGTAATAAGAGAACCTGAGGATGACGAATCTCTCAAACACTAAGGCAAAATGATTAGAGCTTTCTTGAAAGGTGGTTTCAACAAGAGAGAAGCATTTCTTGTTAAGAAGCTGCTAGAATGAAAACCCGCAAAGGGCGTTCTAGGCAAAAAAAAATAATAAAATAATAAAATAATACAAATAAAAAAAACAATGTTTATTCGAACTGAAAATCGAGAGACAGCTTGAATGTTCTTCTTGAGATTTCATAGAAAGCTCTATCATCGCTTCT